ATGGAGACCAGGGTCCGAGCATCAGACAGAGTTCACACGCAGCAGAGGAAGAGCTCAGCAGCCAGAACCAGCCTCAGGCCTCCGTCTGCTGCCAGGAGAACCAGTGCATGCTGGGAAACCGTGGAATCAGTTTTGCTCCGTTCGAGGGCGTCGCTCAGTCGTTCAACGCTCCGCCTCAAACTCCCGAAGTCCGTCTCATTGCAGCGCCGCCGCAGGACGACGACTGGCTCTTCACCGACATCCTGAAGGACAGAACGTCACCAGAGTAGAACATGTTCATCAGAGTCGGCCTCGGCGGCAGCAGGAGGATCTTCTGGAGGAGCCGAGCCGCTCCAGGTGGACTCCAGGTGGACTCCAGGTGAACTCCAGGTGGACTCCAGGTGGACTCCAGGTGGACTCCAGGTGGACGTTTCTCGTGGTTGTTTATTAAAACATGGAGCAAACCTGCTTCAATGAGCGTCTTCATCATTAATAAAGGAAAATATTATTTATTTCTAATTCTTTAAACTCTTACTTGGACATCACCAGGAGCATCTGGACCATGCAGGCTCTCAGTAAATCCTTCTACCAGTCTGGTGAAGGTCTGCTTAACGTTTACCGCAGTCAGGCTGAGTGTTTCTACAGCTGTGTTACTGCAGGATGAGAAGTGGTGTCAGATACTCAGAATGTAAATAAAAAATCAGAACGCTGCGTGAAAAATGACTTGTTCTGGTGAAATCTGTGTCTGAGTGAATCTTTAGAGGTCACGGACAAACATCTGTTAAATAATAATAATAAACAAGAAAATTAAGTAATAAAAAGAAATATATATATATATATATCTTTCTTTCAAAAAATATTTATAAATTATAATATGAATAAAGAAAACTAAGTTAAAAAAGAAATATATTTATTTAATTTTTTTATTATTATTTATTTCATTATTTTTTTACTGTAAATATATATATATACTTACAGTAAAAATAATAAAATAAATAATAATACTTTTTATGGTCAAACATTGTAAAAAAAATTACAATAAAAAAATAGATTTTGATTGTGATGTGGGCGTTATGTTCAGTTTTGTCCTGTATTTTTTAAATTTTTTTAAACAGCATAATAATAACTAATATTTAGGGTTTTATCTGTAATTTAACAAAACTGCAAAAATCTGTAAAATAACAGTAAATTGGTTCAAAGTTTTAACTTTTTTTTTTAAGTTATGTCTTAAAACACATCATGTCTGAGACGTTGCTGTTCTATTTTATTTTATTTTTTAAAACTATTTCAATGTTTTACGTCGACACACGAGAAGTTTTGGGTTTGAAGCTAAACTTCCTGCATTCTGGTGATTTTTTATGTCTTCTGCTTCGGTTTCAGGTGAAAATGATGTTTTATTTTGATGCAAACAGGAAGTGAAGTGAAATCTGAAATCTGCAACAAAAACTCACCGACACACACCAAGATCAAAACCAACGACATATATTAAAGTTAACCCCAGTCAGATGTAATTACAGCATCATTAACAAAACCAGAAAGAAAAAAACAATAAAACACATTTCTGAAAAAAACAAAACAAACAAACACAGAGAAGCTCCGCCTCCAGTCAGCTACAGGTGAACACAACCGTCCAATCGCATCGTCCGGTTTCTGGTTCAGGATGATATTGATTAAATCACAGCATCCGGCTGCTTTTATCCGTCGGTGTGTGAAGTGCAGCTTTAAAGAAAACAGCTTCCAACACAATCATTTGCATGTTACAATAAAATAAAGATAAAAGTGAGAAAAGCCTTTAATGGAGAGTTAAATACGTCATCAGGGGTCTTTGTGGATACGAACTGCTGAAACCTTCAGATCAGGAAAGAAAAGCAGCGATTCGTCCATCAGTGATCAGTGACTGAAGTCTGATCAGAACATTCTGGGACTGCAGCTCCTTTCCTTCCTCTACAGACAGGAAGCTGAACATCTTTAAACATCTGAGGAAAGTCTGATCCACATTTTCAGCGTTTTTAGATTCGACTCCAGAATCAAACTAGCAGGTATTTTCATCAGAGATGAATCAGCTGATGACTGAATAGTTTGGTCTCTGAAGCGTCTCACCTGGAGCTCCACTTCAGGACCGATCTGTCTAAACAGTGACTGCAGCTCCTTACATGTGATGTTTTCTGCTTTCTTTCCTCTGTGACGGTAAACTGAACGGTGGTGTTATTCTACACCTACAGTCGTCTGTCTGATGGACGTAGGAAGCAATCAGCAAACTCATCGACGATGACAACAATCATTAGCTTCAGTCCAGCTGGACTCTCACATGTGATTTTAGAGTTGATTCAAGAGAAGTGACAATAAAATCTGGGTTTTTTTTAACTCTCTTTAGGGCAACAACTAACAGTTACGTTCATTCATGAGCTGATTATTTTTATTGTTTTGTCTCTAAAACGTCTCCAGATGGTGAAAAATAAAACACGTGGCCTAGCTGTTTTCAGACCTGATTGTTCAGTTTGAGTCGTTTTTTAATTAAAACTGTTTAAATTCTCTGGTTTCAGCTTCTTCAGTGAATCTTTTCTGGTTTCTGACAGTAAACTGAACACCTCTGGACTTTTTTTTAACCATTTTCTGACATTTTAGAGACCAAACTGATGGATTAATTAAAAAAGTAATGAAAAGCTAAAACTAAAACCGTTCCTTAAGCGAGCGGTTTGTTAATAAAGCGTCCAGCAGCGGCTGAAGAGGCGTTCTAGGGCTGCAGGACGTCATGAACACAAACCAAATGAAGACATGAATCTTTTAAACCACAGACAACAGAAGAAGAGCGTCTTTAACATCTACGTCTGTGTTCAGGTGACTCCACAGATCAGTTCGTCTCTTTGGGGTCAAGAAAAGAAAAACTTGCGTCATAAAAATTCCTCCGTCGTTTTTTTTTTTCTTTTTTAAATCTAAACACTACGGGACTAAGGAGCTGCGTCTCTACTCTACGGCGGCGGCGGCGGCGGCCTGGCGGAGCTCGGCGTCCTACGGCTACTCTACGTCACTACAGAGTTACGTCCCTTTGCTCATCCGTACGCCCGACGTTTGGTTACACAACGAAAGCTTTGCTCGCTCAATAATTTACAGGTAAAATCAAAGTGTACAAGATGCTCGTGGAAATAAAACGCTCATCGGTGGGAGGAGAGAAGCCGTCACAGCTCGTCTGCTTTGGATCAAAACGTCTGCAGCTCGTCTGTCGAAGGAGAATCATGCAAAAGTCCTGCTGCTGCTCCGACCGACATGCTTCCTGCAGCTCGGATCAATAACTTATCGTCGATATAAATGATAGAAAGTGGTGAAGCGATATGTTGACGGAGCTGCTCCTACCTACCGTCTACGTCTCTACTCTATAAAAAAAGACTGAATGAGTCTGAAGCTGTGACGCGGCTCCTCATTGATCCGTCTCAGCACGTATCGGTTATTGATTACAGCACTTTGTTCTCGTTGCAACGATTTTCCAATTTAAAAAATGAGCTAACACACACACACACACACGCACACACACAC